TATTCAATATATATATATATTTTATAGGTTAATTACACATCATGAATATAATAATCTATCAAAATATCGACAAGAATCTAAATTTAATTCTAAATTATTTTTACCACCAATTTCTAAAGAATTTCGAGAGCGTATTGATTCATATAATAGTATAGTTAAAGATGTATATGGATGTTATATAGAAAATGTAACAAAATATTTACGTTCAATGAATAATAAACAAGAAGAAATATTGCCATTTTCGAACATTTCATTTAATAAAACAACAGATTATGATAATGGAACATTTGAATACAATCTTCATTATCATCAATCACAACAAATATTAAATCCATCGATATCACCATTTGCTGGTCTATCTGGTCTTACACATGAACATTTTATGTCAAATTATAATTCAATTTTTAGTTCATGGGATCTTGTCTATGATCTTGATTTATCACCAAAAATTGTTCCATTTATTGATATTGATTGTCGTGATCATACGAATACAGCATATCATTTAAATAGTTATGGATTAGATTTTTTTAAACAAGGTTCTGAAGTATCATTGATTAATGAAAATGGTTTAAGTCCCGGTGATACATATAGTCTTTTATTAGATCTTTATCTTGTACTTTCATCTGTTAAAACATCAGTAGAAGTCATTATAAAAAATGAAGAAAAACAAACTACAACTGATGATTTAGCCATATTTATTCCATTATATAAATCATTATCAAATATACAAAGTATATTTGCAAGAAACTTTCAGAGACAATATCCAAGTCGTAATCAAATGTAAAAGAAATTCGTCTTGAATAACTCATTTCGTATAGTGAAATGATCGCAATATAAAGACATTTATTTTTTTTTTTTTTTTAGTTTTGTTAAACAAGATTGAATAAAAAAAGAATTTATTCTTCAATTCATCTTTTGAAGATTATGTTGATTATTAAACAACAAAAGAAAAGAATTTACTTAAAAGAATATTCAAGTATTAATAAAAAAGATTCCTCTTTGTTAAATAGGATCATTTTCAGGATTTATTCAAGTTCTTGTCTATAGTTTTTTCTCAATTAACAATTCAGGATTGATTCTCAATCATATCTAGAATCTGATCAAGAATAGCAGTTAAATCAGAGAAGAATCTTAATAAGAATACAACAGAAGCGTGTAGATTTGGTTTAAAATAAGATAAACCCATACTCAAATATATCATTTTATAACTTCCAAAAGTTGCTATCGATGATTATGTAAAGACTTATTACAACTAATCTTTATGGACGTTAATTATGTGGCAAGTCCATGAGTATCACCAATCTTTTAGCTAACATATCATTGAAGACACCAATAATTTTCTTTTTCAATAGAAATTATCTTACAAGAATCGATGCGCAATTGAATAGTCTACTTGATAAGACCGATCTAAGATGAAATCATTACTGACTTCCTATCACTCGAGATATTATCGAGTCAATTTAAAATCACTATCAATCGACTTATCTTAAATTTTGCACCAAATGAGACAGGAACCCAAAAACGATGATGCCTAGTGAAGTCGAATCGTATGTTATGTTCATTGATGTTTCATTCTACTGGCGTGCCAAAAAACGATAGAACAAACAACAAGAGACGTCACGCCTGTGTTTTCGCTTTCTTCATCGTGCACATTTTTCCATATTAACACATGGAAAATGAATTTTAGACGAATATCTATCGTCAAGTATCACTGTTACTGTCTGAAAGCAAAAAGTGAGAAGTTATCTCGTTTCATTTCCCTGCAATATAAAAAAGAACGAGTAGAATAATAGACCTTTGCTCTATGTACAACTTTTTGTAAACCACTGAGGATTTATGCAAGAGGAGAAACTCGTGAATCCCGTATTTGCAAGATTCCTAGGATTCATATGACATTTCGGGAATCCTAAAATCCACATTCAACCGTTATGATCCCCATTCTAGTTCTGAAAATCTCATAGAAGTCAGAATCAAGGCTTCACTGCTTAATAACATAGTCAGCATGGCTGCATTAAACTATTGAGGAAAAATATTCCCTATCTTGAAAATTCTAGACATTTAACCTAATTAGACGGATATCAAGTCGATTTTGACAACAAATCAGTTTAGTTCCTTATTTTCATCGAAAGAGAGCAAAACGTATGAGAAAACCTTCATTCGGATTCGAATCGATTCGGCGAAATCTATAGGCATGTGCTGAGTCCGAGTAGCTCGGGCTCAGTCTAACTAAGGATCGGCCAGGCATGGGCATGGGTGCGAGGCGGTAGGATGTGGATGGGATGGCTACTTTTGTTCCCCCCCCCCCCTCCCCGTCACACCAGAAACGTATATAGAGGTGAAATTGGGAGATCATACGACAAGAACTAATTAGATCGTTTATTCATAAAGTTTACGGTTGAGATGTGTATTGCTCGCACTGCGTAGAAATTTCTCGAGGGCGGTTGTTCCGAACTTGTCTCTCTACTTCTATTATTTCTTGACGACCGTGTGCTTATCATAGCAGCAGTTAAACTCCATTTCTAGAATCATTCATACAAAAAAATGTACATCAAACATAAAAAATTAAAAGAAGAGATTTAATTTTTGACAGACGCTTTCTTTATGAAATACCATCCGTTGCACTTCATTTTGATCAAAACTTTCGAAAGAACGTCTTTAAGTATGACTCGCCAATGGAACTGGTATTTAGCCCATAAATAGACCCCAATAAGACCAGTGGAGGTCTTTAAGAATTCATTCTTATACGCTATCGTTCCCAATTTGTTACAATTTAGTTAGATTTCATAGACTTTAGAATGTTCTGACATTTTCAGCCTAATACAATATGTTCTTCTTAAGATATTGAATGTTCAAAAACAGTCATGTGTTGTAACAAAAGGTAAGAAACCTCAATGTTTTCAGCATTCAATATCTTAAGAGCAGCACATCCCTTTGCCCTGAAATTTTTAGGACATTTTAAAGTTCACGAGATATACCTATCAGTAAAATATCAGATTGGATTTTCGTATTTTTACTTTTTTCATCAATACCTTGCCAAAGATGAAAAATTCAGTAAAATCGTAATAGCTTGGGAACCTTAAAGACTTCCACTAGTATCATCATGGCTCACTTATGGGCATAACAACAGTTCGGTTAACGAGTCACACTTAGGGACCTTCCCTTGTTAGTGCAAATTCAATTACAAAAAAACAAGATTAAGATTAAAGCGATTATTCTATAGGCATATATGTATGTCTGATTACATCTTGTCTAATTAAATATTTCTTCGCAATATTTTCAACTTGACATTGTTATCAATAAATGAGTGTTAAAAAAATGTTATAGCATCACAAACGTGTGAAAAAAAAATACTTTTAGACGCGATACATAGCTCGGCTATATAAATGATAACTGTACAAATCAATAAGAAAACAGAAGCAAAAATTCTTTCAATATCTTCTGTCAACTTCAATCGAATAACGAATTAAACTAATGCAAAAAACAATTTAAGACTCAAGATTCGCTGCCGATATATTTCTATCGTTGAATGTTTTTCGTATGGTTTCGGTATTATGACTAAATTAATAAAATGAAACAATAAGACAAGTAAAATTTTTGTCCAATCTGCTATATTTTTCTCTTCAATGCAAATTGTTTCGTTCAAATAATAGAACAAAAGACACTAACAACTTGTATTGATAATCATTTCGATAGTTCTGATTTTTTTCTCAATAACTGTTTATATGTTTTTTTTTTTAATGAAGAAAAAAAAAATCAACGAAATAAAAGAGCAAGCATAAAGCTGCAAAACGAGAAACAAACAATAATTTCAGAACAATATCATGATTTAATAAACTTATAGAATAATGATCCTGCTTTAAAAGAAAAGAAAAAAACGAATGTAATAAAAGAAATAGAAGGGATATAACTATCAAATGAAGACTTTCACATGCCCATACGATCATTCTCAGTTTTTTCAATAACACCAGACGAAACACATAATTGAATATGATAAATGGTTTGTTTTAAAAAAAAAAACAAAGAAACAAAAACAAATCTCCCCGATCAACGCAACAAAAACAAAAAAGAAATAACAATGACAAAGATCGTGCGCATACCAAAAAAAAAGAAGAACATGTTTAACGGAACACAAAATAAGAGATCGATAAGTTTTTAACTAATAGTTCGTGATTAATGCACACAAAAAAAAAAAAAAAAAGACAAGACAAAATAGTTCAACCAACAACTGGTATATACACTTAATCAGAAGAAAAGAAAGAAGAAGAAAACTAACAATATTGCAAAATGATTACCGAACGTTTATCCTTACACTTAGTTTTTTACGTTTTTCTTATTTCTATTTTGTTTTTTTTTTATAATTTCTTCTTACTTTCTAATAAATATGCAAGTCACAACAAAACCCAATAATAATTCAGAAGAATATGTTTATCTATAGATAGAGAAAAAGAAGACGAAGGGTTTATCAGATGAAGAATGTGCTAAAGTCAGACAGGTTGAGCAAACAAACACAGACAGTTACATAAATAATGTAAAATAAAGAGAGAAGACAAAAAAAAAAGAAAGAGAAATCACAGTTATTCCACGTGACATTTAAGATAAGACATATTCAATAGTTTTGTTCTTATTTATTTCGTTTTGGAGGACCCCAAATAATTGGTATTGTATTCACTGTTGTTTCATGTATTTCGGATAAATCATCATCAGTTGTTAATGTAAGACCATTTGAAAACGATGGATATTCACCTAAATCAAATGAAAATTAAATAAAAATTTTTGCTTCATTCGAATTGTTTGATTAAAATTTAATAACAAAAAAAAAAATACAAATGAAACTAATGTACTGATACTGACACAATTTTTTTGCATCAAAAAATAAATAATAATTAATTTATATTAGATTGTTAATCTTGACATAGACATTAGTTTCGTTTTCGGTATAATACTAATATAACATTGAAGCGAATATTTTCTTCAGTTATAACAATTTTAATAAGTTTTTTCAACTGAATAATACTGCGATTGCTTTTGAAACTGATTCTCGAGTTCAAAATTTGTATGAATAAAGAAATTAATTTATTTTGACAGTGTCAGATATTCTATATAGTATCTTTCTTATTCTTCGATACCAATATTGAAAAAATTTTTATGTGATAAAGAAAACATTGTTCGTATATGGAAATCTCAGAATAAGATAGACTAGAAAATTTGAACTCGAAAGTCGATTTTTGAAGATCATCTGCTACAATGAATCATAGAATTTTGTTGAAAAATACACTGAAATAGCTATTACTGAAGAAAAAAAGACTCATAAGCATGAATCTTTTGAAGCTTTCTATAAAATTAATAAATCCTATCTGAAAATGTAACACTCATCTCACAAGCAATTTCTTATTTTGTGAGATCTCCTCATTGACAAAGTATACTGATGCTATTAGGGATGTTCAGAAAAAAAATAACAGTAATAGTAAAGAAAAAATGCTAGGCCAATGTTTAGGAACATACAAATATGATTTTGTGCTATCGAAATAAATAAATAATAAGTTATTTCTTGTCAATTTAATGAAAACGAATTTATTAATTCAGACGAAAAAACTGGTGTCAAGCAGACTAACTTTTCTTGCATTTGTTCTAGTTATTATGCTTTTCTAAACTTTTCACTTTCATCTTGTATATATTGAATAAGACCTAATTGCAACTACGTTCTCTTTTCTAAAAATTTAATCTAATAATAATTTCATGTATTATACTGTTCAATCGATTTCATCATTAAATGACTTGTAATGAATAGCAAATCATAGATAGGATCGGTTCGCATCTTTTTTTTTTGTTTTGCAATCGAACTAATTCTATCAAGTCAGAAAATCCGCCAGTGCGGCGATAATTTTAGAGAAAATCTCTTCTGTCGTTGTGCTAAATTAGTACTGTTAGATTGATTCCATCAAATTCAGGTGTAAATTAATGAAAATTTCTCTAAGAAAGAAGCTGCTACTATGTACATCTCTGGTAGCAATGTACTCATATAATAGATTATTAAGTAAATAACAATGAAAGAAAAATTCTTACCTAGATCATCTTTACTTGGTGCAAATTGTCCTTTTTTTGGTGAATTCTTACGTTCATTTCTAATTTTTTCTTGTTGATTTTCAAAACCATTTTGTTCATTTGATGCCCATGGTGCATTTTTAACTTTAAATGCTGCTTGTTTATTATTATTTTTTGTTGATTTATTCATATTTGAATTTGATGCTAATGCTGATGCTGATGGTACTTCTTGTTGTCGATGTTGAACATTTGATAATTGTTGTCCTGATGTTGATGATTCATTTTGTATTTGTTTTTTATATGGTAAATCTTGAAGAAAATCTTCTTCTAATATTAATAAATGATCAATACAAGCATCAATATTATCTTGATTTGTACCAATAACATGTACTTTATTACTTTGATTATTACTTGGAAATTTAATATCAACATTATGATCTTTCATAATTTGTTGTAATTTTTGTCCACCTGTACCAATAATACGTGCATGTATACGATGATCAATATCAATTTCCATTGTTATTGTTGATTTAAAATCTTGTATTAATTTTAATATTTCATCACGACATTTTAATGCTTTATCTTCATAACCAATAATTAATATTTCAATATCATTTGATATTGTTTCATTTGTTAATGATGAATTTTCTATTGGTAAAGCTTGTTGATCATCATGATTTATATCATTTGATAATGTTGGTGTTGGTACAACAGCTGTTGTTGGTTGTTGATTATTTAATATTTGTATATTAACATTATATTTTTGTTTTAAATCATTAATTGTACGTCGACGAGGACCAATAATTAATGAACGATATTCCAATTTAATTGGAAAACGTAATTCATATGAACGTGCTTGTTTATCAATTTGATATTTTTCATAACGTTGTATTAATTCATTTTTTACACTTTCAGTTTGTTCAGATTGACCTTTCAAATGTATTAAATTTGATGATGAATTTAATGATGGAAATGTTATTTGTACATCAGGATATTGTTCTATTAATTTTTCTAATTGATTACCAGCTTTACCAAGTAATACACCATGTACTTCAAATGGTATATCAACTGCTAATTCAAGTGGTATCATTTTTTCTAAAGCAATTTCAGCTTTTTCAATATCATCAATACGTCCAGTTATACGAACAATATCATCATTTGATGGTTCTTGTTCATTATGATTATTACGTGGTGGAAATTTAATTTGAACATTATATTCTTTTTGTATAGGTTGAATATATGAACCACCTTTTGCAAGTAAATAACCATGATGACGATGTGGTATAGAAATTTCTTTTGTTATTGTATTTTCCCATGTATCAATTAATTCTACTAAACATTTTTGTACTTGTTCAATAATTTGTTTTGATCCACGTAATAAAACTTGATCAGAATTATTATTACGTTCAGGAAATTTAATTAACATATCACCATATTGTTGTTGTAATTCATTTAATAATTTACGTTTATTTTGAAAAAATTTATTATGCCATTTAGGATTTATTGTTATGTATTGATCAATAGAATTTTCTAATGATATACTTAATTGTTTAATATGTTCATCAAGATATTTTCGTGCTTTATCAACATCAATACGTTTACCATTTAAACGTATTGATAAATATTCTTTTGTATCATCAACATTTGAAATATCAATACGAACATCAGGCATTTGTTCACGTAAACGTTGTATATTTGAACCACTTTTACCTATTAATAATGGATATAAACGTTTTGATAATTCAATTTCAATTGAATATAAATCTTTAATTTTTTGTTGTAAAAATTTTGAACATTTTTCAACATCTTCTTTATCACCATGTAATATAACTTTATCACTTTTACCATTGGCTTCAGGAAATGTTATTTGAATATTATGAAATTTTGAACGTACTTCTTCTAATTTTTTACCTTTGACACCAATTATTTGTGGATAATATTGTGGATCAATACTTAAACCAGTTGTACGTTCATTTGACTAGAAAAATAAAAATTTTATTTTTCTTATTTAATATATATTATCATATACGAAAGAACTATTCTAATTCTAATCTGTTATT